GCCGGTCGGCTGCCTCCGCGCCGGCTCGAGGAGGGGCGCGGGCGGGGGGCGCCGCGCGCAGGCGGGCCGGGCGGGGGGAGCGGGAGGGGGGGGGGCAGGGCGCGCTCCTTCCCCTGCTCTGGGTAAGGCCTGCTCCCGGTGGGAGGTGGACGCCGGCCTCGGAATCAGGGCGGTGGGGTTCCAAACTCTGTCCCCTAGTTGGGGCCCGCTTTAGCAGCACCCCTTCCCCTGGCCCTGCACGCTGGCTGGCGCGGGCAGCCTGTCTGCCCCTTCCCTGCCCCCTCCGCTGCTGCACCCCAGCACCTAGGAAGAGAGGCAGCTTGGAGGGGGCCAAATTCTGGGTCAAAGATGGACCGCGGGGTAAAGGGGACACCCCGGGCCTTTGAAGAGGAGTCCATCCACAGAGGCAGTGATGTGGAGGTCAGGGGGTCAGAAGGGACCGCGGACCCGGCAGCCCTCTGGGGATCCCCCAGGAAATCTGGAGCCCCGCAAGGTCACCACTGAGCTACTCCGCCCCCCACTAGTGGGACAGAGGGAGGGAGCAGCTCATTTCCAAAGACGTTTTCTCCCCGTGGAATCTGGATAATTTCCCTGGGGAACTGCAACAAGAAAAGGGCTCTGCAAACAGATTCCCGTGCAGATAAGTTGGCATTTAAAAGAGAAAGGGACACTGAGCTCCTTTGAAGGGAGGATTGAGGAGACAGCTCCACCCATCCTCTAGTCTGGAGGCCGCTGGGGCCCCAGGGCCCTCCTGGGTGCCCTGGCCTGGGGCGCAGCCTCCCTGGACCCCACCCGACTGATAACCCTCTGCTTCTCTCCTCTGCAGATGACCAGAGCCTGGCGGAGGAAAAGGGACTGCGCTGTCAGAACCCCAACTGCATGGACAAGGGGCGAGCAGCCAAGGTAGGGAGGCTGGAGGGCCTGGGTTGCCGGGGGCAGAGAGGACAGGGCTCCAACCCTCTCTCTATTCAGGCATGGATACCCACCGTGTCCTCTGGGTTCAAGGGTGGGCAGGGCCGCAGGGCGGCTTGTTTAAGAGGCCAAGGGGCCGCCCTTGGCTCAGAAACAGCAAAATGGAGGGGACTTCTGTAAGAACAGGGGGCAGGGGTACACCAAAGCCCTTTCCTGCACTGCAGTCCTTGTGGCCACCCTGAGGTGACAGGACCTGTGGCCCCATGTCACAGATGAGGAAGCTGAGACCCAGGAAGAGAAAGGACGCCCCGTCCTCCCCCCCCCCCCAGGTCAGGCTGTGCTCCAGTGCCCAGCTGGCCCCCTTCCTGGAGCACTGGATCACTCTTCAGGCCTGGGCATGGGTCAGGGACACTTTGGGACTTGGTGAGAGTGAGGGTGCCATGGGAATGACAGAGGGAAGAAGGGACAAATTGGTCCTGAAGCGCCAGGCCTTGGGAGCCAGCAGCAGGGCAGAACAAGAGGGAGAATGATAAATATCGTCGCCGGGCACCTCTGTCCATTATGCGCCGGGCTTTGTGCCACATGCTCTCTGTGCCTTATGTGCTGTTTGTGGCAGCTCTGTTGGGCCGGCCTGCGTGCCCCCTTTTCCAGATGAAGATACCAAGGTTCAGAGAGGTCCTGTGACTTGGCTCAGGCCCCACAGCTCATGAGAGACCAAGCCAGGGCTCAAACCCAAGCGTGGCCCCTTCCAGCACGCATTTGAGTGACCATGGTAATGACTGCCAGCTCTTACTGTGTCAAGCTGGGGAGCTGAGGACTTGCTGTCTCCTCCTTCTGGCCTTCTGAGATCTGTCCTGTCATTATTTATAGATGAGGAAACTGAGGCTCAGGGAGCTAATGGCTCACCCAAGGACACATGGCCAGGATATAGTAGAGCTGGGATTCGAACCCAGAGCCCAGCTCTGTGTAATGTCAGAACCTGTGTTCCGAACCACCGTGTAGCTCAGCTCTGCCAGCTGCAGGAAATTAAAAATGCCACCCCCCCCCCCCCCCCCCCCCCAGCTCCCTCTCCCACCCCCCTCCGCCCAGACACATGCTCATACATTCTGCACAGGAAGACCAGGTTAGAAGGAACACGGAGGACTGTTCTGGGGGCGGAGACAGGAGGGGGAGGCTTTCAGTTGCCGTGGTCACCGGGCAGGGGGGTGGCTGTGATGTCAGACACAATCTGCTGGCACGGATGGTGCCTGGCATTGGGGCTCTGGTGTTGGCTGATTGCCTCTTTCCCAGATGGGGGCTCCTGGCAACAAACTGGCCTCAGCTACCCCCAACATACATCCTGCCAGGGGCCTGCAGAGCCCTGGGGCCCCTCCTTGGGTAGTTGCTCCTGGGGCAAGTCCCCGAGCTGCTGCAGGCAGGGGCAAGGGTAGGAGGGCTCGGACCACGTAGAGGTGAGGCCTGTGAGTTGAGAGCTGGTCTCAGCAAGTGGGGGCCCTCTGCAGCCTCCCGGTCCTAGCTCCAGCCCAGCCCCGCCCCGGCCTGCCTGGAACTCGGCATGACTGCCATGGGCCAGAGGGTCACCCAGACTGCCGTGGGAGACACGAGGCCCTGGCACTCGTAGGACCCACTTTAGGACAAATGGCACAGACTCACTTTGGGGCCAGGGATGCCTGAGTGATCAGAGAGGCAGGGGGGCCAGTCTTGCCAAGGGGTCGAGCAGGCTGAAGCAGAGAGCGAGAGAAGAGGCAAATGACATCCTGCTTTGCTGAGGAAGAGGAACAAAGAATGTCCTTGATGGTGACAATCACCACCACCGACCAAACGCACTTGTGCCCTAGGTGGGGTGTCGGGCCCTGATGCTTGTGTCACTGAACCCTCGAGAGCTCAGGAGGAAAGTGTTATTCTCGCATGACGTGAGGGAAATGAGGCTCAGAGAGGAAAGAGCTTTTGCCCACCTTGCACAGCATGGCCGGCAGAGCTGTTTCCGGAGGGGGATCAAGGGCCTCATTCTTGTTCTTCCCCAGCCACGCTCAGAAGGCTAGCAGAATAGGACTAGCTTTTTATTTATTTATTTATTTATTTAATTTTATTTTTAAATTTTTTTGATGTTTTTATTTATTTCTGAGACAGAGAGAGACAGAGCATGAGCAGGGGAGGGGCAGGGAGAGAGGGAGACACAGAATCCGAAGCAGGCTCCAGGCTCTGAGTTATTGGCACAGAGCCCGACGTGGGGCTCGAACTCACGAGCTGTGAGATCATGACCTGAGCTGAAGTCGGACGCCCAACCAACTGAGCCACCCAGGTGCCCCAGGACTAGCTTTTTAAAGGAGATGATGTCATTCATTCGTTCACCAAATGAGCTTGTAGCGTCTGCTGTGCAGGGCCCACTTCTAGGCCCAGGACCTCCTGGAGCGGACATCCTAGGAGGGGAGAAGTCAGCACTTGGGTTTGACAAGCCTGTCTCCAGGCTTTTTAAATTTTCAGCCTGTCGTGGGTGCTGGGGCTTCTGAGATGAAGCAGCTGCCCCGCGCCTACCTCCTGCCCTGGAGGTTCCGGGGCACAGGCTCCTAGAGGAGGCTGCTGGCGTCCTGAGGAACGAGGAGGTGTGGAGATGGGAGGGAAGCTGAGTGAGCAGAGGGGCAGGAGCCCCCCGAAGTCAGGGCCTCGGAGATCACAGGAGAGAAGTTGTACCCCTGCCCCTGCTCTGGATGAGGATGTGTAGAGTGGCTCCAAGGTCAAAGCCTACTCCTTTCCAGCTGTGTGACCCTGGGCAAGTCACTATACCTCTCTGATCTCCGTTTCTTCATCTGCAGACTGAGGCTTCTTGAGTTGTAGGTAGGATTAAACAGGGCTCAGATGTGAAGTGCTTGGCGTGGAGTGTGGCATGATGTAGGTTCAAGAGAATGCTAGCTGTTCATCCGCCATGGAAGGGGAGAGAAACCCCTAGGCTTTGGGCGTGCCCTCCTTCCCCTCCCTGAGATCTGAGACCTCCCCAGATTCCAGCCCAGACCCCAGCCAACCCCACCCAGCATGGCAAATGTTTATGGCACATCTGTCCTGTCCCCGGGGCAGGTGGAGCTTGGAGTCTTGGGAAGGGTGGAGATGAAGGGAGTGTTTGTTCCCTCTCTCAAGGGGGGGCCTGGTGATGATATAGTGAGTGTCCAGCCCTCCTGCAGAGTAACCACAGGACAGATGGTGTCCGGACTCCCCAACTCCTCGCCGGGCCCCCTTGAGCTGGGTGATCTGGTCAAAGTCTGCAGGGCACTCCAGGTCACAAGGGGACATGGTGGAGGGCTTTCGCTGGCCCAGGGGACATTGGACCATCACTTCAGAGGGAACTGAAGACTCAAGGGTATTTATCCTGGAGATGGAACCCTCAGGGCATCATTCTCAAAGGTGATGCTTCTAGCAGCCACCACTCATGTATTCAGCACCTACTGTGTGCCAGGCCCTGCTTTCTATGCCTCCCCAAAGGGACCTCCTCTTGTCCTCACACCCTCCCTATGCCATAGGGACCACCCCATCTCCACATGAGCGATAGGATCCCATGAAGCAGGGGGGTAAGTGACTCACCAAGGCAAGGCCAGGACTTAAACCAGATCTGTCTGTCCTCAGAGCCTCCCATTTCTAAGGAGCTATCAGGAGGAAAGGGAGGTGACTTTTTCTGCTTGGCTCCAAGGGCCCAGGCAGGATGGGAAGTTTCCAACAGCTGAAGCCGCTCCCCAGAGTACAGGTTGTGAGCACCCCATTCCTAGAGGTATTCAAGCAGAGTGGACGTTGGATTTGATGACCTTAGCGTTCCCTGCCGGTTTAACAACAGGTTGTGAGGTGGCAGGGATGAGTCAGGGGGAGGTGTGTCTAGGGGAGTGGTGGCCAGCTGAAGACCAGCGGACACAGGGCAGAGGAAGGGGCGGATTTGAGATCCTTGTGGGGAAAGAATGGGCAGGATGTAGTGAATAATGGGAGAGGGAGTCACCTATTCTCCAGGGTGGTGCTCCGGGAGCGAGAGGTGGCAGGCCAGGGTGCCCTTGAGAATGGCCAGACTCTGGGGATTTCTGGGGGTGACTTTTAGATGCTGGTCAGCTGTAGGCAGGTGGCAGTCCAGTCTGCAGCTGGAGGAAGCGGCAGAACCAGAGTAGCAGGGCAAACGGAAGGCCTGGGCTTTGGCTAAGTCATTCTGGGGGCAGCGGGTGACGGCATGGGGCGCCAGGCCCAAGGGGCAGGGACGGAGGATCCACCATGTGTGATGTGGCCAAGATGAGCCGTCCTGGAGTGGACCCAGCCCCAGTGAGGTCAGTGCTGCCAAAGAGGGCAGACAGAGCCTGCTAGGAAAGAGAACCGGCAGCCTAGAGGCCTTGGCCTGGTGACGGGCTTGTGGGAGGGGGTTCTAGGTTTGGAAAAACGCTGGTGGGCCTGAGCCCAAGATCGGCCCCAGGCCCACCCCGTAGTGATAGTTAGGGAAGGGGGTTGGTGTGCCGGGGCCAGTTCCTCCCGCAATACTCCTGTATCCTCGCCGGTATCCTCGTGCACTCCCCGCAACCCCCGTGCCCAGCGCGGAGTTATTCTGAACTTAGGCAGCCGGGAGAGGGAAGCTGGGAAGCACCAAAGGGCCGAATGGCCCCCTTTTCAGCCATGCCAGGCACGGGCTAGGGAAAAGGAGGGGGCACAGAGATAGGCGGGCCCGTTTCTCAGGCGCCGTGGACGGCACAGTTCAGGATCCAGCGGAAGCGAGCCTGGCTTGGGGCGATGCCCGGCCGGGCTCGGCCTGCGGGTCTCTGCGCCTGGACCCCCCGGGGCCTCCCTCTCTCAGGCCGGGACTGCTTCCCGCCGCGGGCCCTCGCCGGGGACCGGCGACCCCCCGTCTTCAAGCCCAGGTTAAAGCCTAGGGACTTGGAACTTCCCGCACATTGGTGAAGAGCCGGCCCCCTCGGGGACAGTGACGACCCCTCCCTCCCGGCCCCGCAGCCCGGCCCCTAGATTACCCCCCCAGCGCCGGCCGCGCTTCCTTCCCGGGCTCCCCGCGCTCCCCCTCGCCAGCCGGGCGCGCCGATGGTACGTCCCGGCCCGCCCAGGTGGTAGCGCCCGCGCCGGCCTACCGTAATTCCCCTACGTCCCGCGCCCCACGCCGGCTCAGAGCCGACTGAGCCCGCCCCGCGGCTCCGGTCCCCTTGGTTCTGCGCGCCCCTCGGGGCTTTGACAGCCTTGGCCCGAGCCCCAGCCACAGGGGAGGAGACCCATGTCCCTAAGGTGAGTCTCAAGGGGAAGCTGGGGACGAGACGGGGCTGGGATCGGGACGGCTGTGGTTCCGGCGTCCAGGACTCCCCCCGAATTAATGGACAGAACCGGGAGTAAAGGGACCGACGCAGTCCCAGGGCTGCGGGGGGCGGGGGTGGGTATCGATGGGCTCCACTGGCTCTACCTCCATTTACTGAGGGTGGAATGGGCTCAAGCTCCCGCCCCCACCCCAGTGATTCTAGGGTGGGGTTGGCTCGGCGCTAGGGCAGTGTGGAGCCAATGGGGACCCCTCTCCGGTGTGAGGATTGTTGACTGGGCGAGAGGATCCTGGAGTGGGGCTTGGCGCGGGGTGGCTGGGAGGCTCGGGCGACCCTGCCCAATCTGGGCGTCCGAGAGTTGGTCCGAGGCGGAAAGTCGTTTCGAGGCCGGCAGGGGGCGCGCGAGTCTGAGCCTCAGGCAGCCTGGGCCGGCCGGGACCCGATTGGGGGAGGGGAGAGGGAGAAGACCCACGAACCTGGAGAGGCCTTGGCTTGCCTTGATGAAAGACGAAGAAATGGAGACCGAGGGGGTCCTGGGCCCTACAAATTCCCCAGTAACCTTCCCCAGGTTTGTGGGGCTGTAGGAGGATTTGACCGTTCTTCTGCCCCTTGGCCAGGGTCCAGGCACGTATTGAGGCCCAGGAGCCATCCCTAGGTAGAATATTCTAGAGAACTGGCCAGTGCCCTCTTTGCACAGATGGGCAAGGGCAGGGGTAGGTGGGACCCAGAAGCAGGTCTTCTGTAGCCCAGGCATGTGCCTTCTTCCTCATTCCCTCCCAGGGAGACTTTTATACAGTGCTGGAGAGAGAGGTATCAGGAGAAGGCACTGGCTTCGATGCTGGCATCTGGGGCTCCAGGACCTGGCACATTCGTGCAGGGACTGGGCAGGAGGTGAGGTTCACTGACCACAGCCTCTGCCTCTGTCCCTAAAACTGGGTCCCACCTGGACTGCTCCCTGGGGTGGTAGGGGCCTTGCTGACTTCTGGGGCCCACGTGGTTAGCCCGGCCTGCAGAGAGGTTCCCTGCATCCATCCAGCACAGGGCAGGGCCTCAGGGCAGGCTCTGCCTCCAGGTGGGCCCCAGAATCCAAGGACAAGGGGTGAGGCCCAGGCCTAGGGGAAGGGAGGGGCTGGGTGGGCTGTTTGGAGAGCAGCCTGGCAGAGTTGGCCCCACCCTGGCCGACCTGCTCAAACATGCAGCCTCCACCCTTGGATTTCCAAGGAGCTAGATGGGGCCTTGGGGCCAGTAGGCTCCCAGGGGAGCTCAGCCCGGATGGGGAGCCCCTGGGCAGTGGTGTCCCTCTAGCCAAGGTGCTCCAGGCTGGTTGTTGTGGGCAGAACATGGAGCTGGCCCCAGATCTATGGTCTCTCCTCCTAGACAGGGAGCTCCTCTGTCTCACCAAAGACCAGGCCGGGTCCCCCACCTGCTGTGGGGGTGGACTGCCCACAGTCCCCTGCTTTTCTGGGTTTGGGAGATGGTGCTGCGGCGGGGGAGCGGAAGGGGGGCTTCTGCCTTGGAGACTCCATTATTCATCAGCCCCAGCATCTGGTTTCTGGGTATCAGTTTCAACAAGCCAGTCCTGACTCATGAGCCTGGAGCTGGGGCTGGGCTGGAGAGGGGCCCCCTCCCCAGGGAACCAGGGCCGAGGACTCCTTTGTCCTGGGCATGGGCTATTTCAGCTCCCTCCTCTAGAGGAAGTGGGGACCCAGGAGTCTGCTGAGGCCTTCTCCCTCTCCTGGCGCGAGGGCCAGGGGCTCCTTTCCTCCCCTGACTCTGCAGCTTCCTTGACCCTCCTTCCCTCTCGGCCCTGGGGCACCAGGGCCCTGGCCTTCTGAGGAGCAGGCCCTCTGCCGTGGCTGGAGGAAGCAAGCAGCAGCATGACTGGGGAATGGCCGGGGCCTGGTCACTCAGGTGACCTCCGGTGACCTACCTGGCCCAGCCCCCGAGGTTTCTGCTTGATGTGACCTGCTAACCCCAGGCCAGTAGGATCCCCCTGAACTGGCTTTGGGACCTGCCCTGTTCCCAAGCCGGTAGAACTCAAGGCCCTGCTGTTAAACCACCACTTAGCTGGTCTCCATGCCCCCCACCCTGCCTGAGGCCCCTGGATAGTGGTCCAAAGCACAGGCATTCTTCTGTTTCCCCACTTTGCACCCGGGGCAAGCCACTTCACTTTTCCAAGCCTCAGTGTCCCCATCTGTTAAGTGGAGATGGTAACCATGCCTCTTCCTTTGAGAGTAGTGAGCAGGATACTGGCACAGGCCTGGCATTTGGGAGCGCTCAGCTGTCAGCCTGTAGGGCAGCAAGAACAGAGAGTCTGTGGTAGAAACCACCGCCCAGGCCAGCAGGCCCGAGGTCACGTTTGCTAGCAAAAAGAAGCAATCCTACGGTCAGGCAGCGGGGAGGGTTTTGTCGACCACGGGCAGCAGGAAGGGACACCCTGGCAGAGATCTTCCCTGCCCTCGTGGCCTTCTCTGGCATGAAGACCCTTCCTCTGCTTTCATCCATTTGTTCTCCTAGTCTACACTGAGCACCTGCTGGGTGGAGGGCGCCGTGTGGGCCAGACAGCTAAGGACCCTGGCCTCTGGAGAGGATATTCAAGTGGGGAGGGGTGGTCATCAAGAAGTGAACAAGGAAGTCAAACAATCTCAGGTAGTTTGAAATGCTTAGGAGGAAAGAGTTTAGTTTAAGAGGATTGGAAGTGAGACATGTAAGGGGCTACTTATTTTGAGAGGAGGTTAAAGCCTTGTTGAGGAGGTGGCATTGAAGCCGGGATCCGGTGCCAGCCGTGGCAAGATCAGGGGCACAGGGTTCCAGACAGAGAACACAGAGGTGCGGGTGCTGAGCTTGGTGAGTCGTGGGGATGGACGAGGCAGGCTAGCATGGAGACCACCATGAGGGACCTGCCGGGAGGTGAGGTCGGGGCTAGCCATATTGGGATTTTATTCTAAATTCCTGGAAGGTTTTAAGGGAGGAGCGAGGTGTCCAGGTTTTAGTTTTCAAAAGATCTATCTGCCTGTGGTGTGGACAGTGGATGGCTTGGGCTTTGGGAGTGGAGGTGGTCCTTGAAACTTCCTGATTGGAGTAAACTGCTGCCTCCTCACAGCCATCTTCAGAGACCCTGCCCTGTCCCCCCCCCCCCCCCATGGAGGAGGAGCTGTGTAGGGGATGGGTAGGGTGATGACATCATGTCCCCCCTGCAGCACCAGAGGTACTGAGATGGGGTCCCAAGGAGGCCATTCCAGAACAACAGAGTCAGGACTGGGTTTCAGTCCTGCCTGTAGACTTTTGAGTCACTCCATAGTACTGCCCGCCCCCCACCTCTTGGGAGTGAGTGTAATCTACAGCGGGG